TACTGGAAAGAAGATGGACCTCCCAACTGTTGCTAACTTTGGTGAGTTACTGGGGTCAAGGCTATGACCAAAAGGCATGGGTTCCAGAGCTCACCTGATTTTGTCTTCATGACACACACCTGTCCTCTGGCTGTAGCCATCAGTGAAAGCTGATTCTCATGCCTCTGAAGCCTAAAATGCTCAACTCCTTTACTTCCAAGCAGCCACTCTGTCAAGTGTCAGAAATCTTTCAATTTTATAGCATCAATACTTACTTAAATTTGCTTTAAAGGATTTCAAACACTTTGGTCTTTCATTTTTGGATGAGTTCAAAGAAGACTGCCCCGTTTAAAGCCTCTTAAATAGGCAAGGCGTTCTATGAATCTGGACTAACTCACTCTGTCTAAATCGTGTTACTGAGAGTGACAGGGATTGGTTTCAATAAAAGGCCAAGGAAGAAGAGCTGGTGGCTGCCCAGAGTGGATGAACAGCACATTTCAGCGGAAGGATATCGGCATCTGTTCAGCCATTGTGTCTCGTGGGTCAGGTGACTGCGCCACTCCACATACTTCATCCTAACTGGGAGAAGGAAGTTCTGAGGCAACAGGTTGTTGATCCAGGAAGCACATCTCACATTTTGTCATTAGAGGCAGTCGGCCCTTTAGCACCTTTCCTGTCAGCATACGGTCACTGTGTTTAGTTTTTATGACACATTTCCTTCCCTATATACCTTGAGTCCACTGGTAGAGACAGGTAAATGGTCTTAGCTGGCCACATAACTTTTCCTTCTTCTGTTTTTTTTTCAGTATTGTTTCTATTTCTGACAGTTCTGACAGCCCTTCACATAAATCAGTGGTAAAAATCTCCCATGTTAGTGGGCAGAGAAAGGTTTAAATCATATTTGCTGAAGTCAGTTATGTTTCTCTGTCTCTGATGTTTTATCACTTTTTTTTTAGCTCTTTCTATGGCAAGGCAATGATATCTATATTAGGCAAATGAAAAATGAACTGTACCCTAATCCTCTTGTTAATACAGCTGGTACTCTTCCAAAAATCATACACTACTGCTGACAAATCACTGTAATAATCACAAGCCTAAGCTTTAATTTCTTGGATGATATTTACAAAGCATTCATTTTTCAACTATGAAAATGGACAAAATTGAATATTTTGAAAAAATGTTTAGAGCTCGTAATGTTTCCTTACTTGGGGTCTGAAATCCAATTAGGAGCCTCAGTTCTATTGCTTCCACTAATGCATAACCCTAAAGAAAAGTCTCTCTCTGGCCTTCTGCCTCAGTTTCCTCATCTGTGATGTTCCTCATCCTCAGGTTCGAGGACTGAGACTATGTGACAAAGATCTACAGCCAGTCTCTTAAAGGAGGAACTTTATTTTGCAGTATTTTTGACACTCAGATATTTACTTTTAAATGGAGGACTTATACTCTTTCTCTTCAGAAGACATTTCTGAGAATTTGAGAATTCAGAAATTGTATCTCAAAATAAAACAGAGAGTATTTCCCTGGAGGATCTCCCTGCAAGAACCACTTTGGCTCCACCATGAACTGAGTACTTCTAGAAGCATGTATCTAAGCAGGAGAATGAACTAGAAAAACTAGAAGAAGAAACAGGTCTCAGATGGGTGAGGTGGGCCCAAGATCCCTTCTTCTATGTCCCAAAGAAATCACTTAGTTATTGTCATCCAGCTGAATCTGAGGGAGAGACCAGAGTTGTTTTTGGAGATGCCCTATGTTCCTTTCTTCCTCTTTCTGTAAGCTTGTCCTCTTGGACTCTCCACCACTGGGCAGCTGATGTCCCCCTGTGGCTCCCAGCTTTGCCTGGGTATCCTTCCCAACACCTCTTAACGCCACGGAGGGCCTGGAGCTCTGGCTTCTGTCTAACCATCTTTCCCACTAAAATTAACCCTCTCCTTTTTGGACTGTCCTTTATAACCTTTTCAAATACAAGTAGCTGTGCTAGTAATAGCAGAAAGTGTTTCTCTTTGATGAGATTAATGTCTTAATTGATTGGAGGAAGGATTGCAGGGCATAATCAATGCTGTGGCAGGGAGCTCTTTGGGACCAGATCACTTTAGGTCCAATTCCCTGTTGTTATTCCCAACAGACAGGAAGGCCCACTCATGGAAAGCCAACTGCTAGGTCCTGGGAGGACATGAGACTCTTAATTCATCCCAATATCTCAAAAAGAAGAAAGCAACCAGAGCCTGTGGAACTGATCTGCAGTATCTGTTCTTCTCTTTCCCATGTCTCTGAAGAAAGAAGATGGGTCAAGGGTGTTCAAGCCCAGCTCACCATGACTTTTCAGGAAATGAGTGACCCAGAAGCCACAAATGCTTTCAGAAGCTTTGGAATTAGAGATGGTAATGAACTCATAAATGGTGAGGGGAAGGATTAGTCTGTGAGCTGCCCATTTCCATGGATACAGGCTCCTTTCATTTATTTTTACTGGGCTTTTACGGGGACTTAGAGCTCCAAATCTGATAGGACATCTGTGCTTCATTAGCTGTGTTTCATTAGGTTTATAATGTGATTTAAACAGACCCCTCTAAACTGCAGCGAGGGAGGCTCCAGAGAGTCCCAAGTTCCTGGCCTTCCCTTGCAGGGGCCACAGAATGGCTATGGGGTGGAGATGAGTGTTTGGAGGTCATGGGACCCCTGGAAGATGGATTTCAGGCTGGGATGAAGCCAGACACATCTTTCTGCAGTTAAGACCTTAAAAAGAGGACCTGTAAATCTGAGAGCATCTCTACAGGGAAAAAGAAGAACCTAGCTGTGGGGCCTGGGAGGTTCTGCTTTTCTAGTGGTTTGAGTATGCTCACTCACCCTGCAGCCTTCCTTCTCCTCTGCTTTGGAAGTCAGCACAATTAACATGTTTTTGAGGTCGAGGGAGGAAATGTAAAACATGAGGGCAGTTTGGTGGACTGCAACAGGAAGCAGGAAGCAGCCACTTTTTGAGTGCTCCCTCCAGCAATGATTAAAGTAAAAGCAGGTAGTCAGTCATGTGACAGGGCTGAAATGTATAAACTGAGTATCACACTGCTCTGAGAATAGTTGCTATGGTAACCCAGACAGAGATGGAACAGCAGTAAAGGAGAGCTGCCCTGAAAGCAAATGTTATTGATTAAATGAGAGTTTTTGAGGGTGGGGGGGTTGGTGGCAGTAGTGAGAATGGGAGTAGGAGGCAGGTGAACTCTCTGTAATGACCACACAGAGAGTGTGGTTTGGTTGTGTATTGACAAATCTTGTCAGGAGTGCTCATAGAAACAGGAAGTGAAATGATTATCTGCACAAGCTACTGTTCCCATGGCTGAACTTTTTGTTTGCAACATTACATAGTAAGTGCATTGTTTCTTAAGAAAATCTAAGGTGCTGGAGACAGGTATTACTGGCCTTGAGTTCAAATACTAGATCACCCGAACCAGGATCATTTTTCTGCAGGGTTGACAACTGTATCCACTCAGCAACCTGATTATTTTTAACTCGGCCCCGCATTCTGCCATCAGTTGTTCACATGACCATTGCAGAGGTCACTACTTGCTTGAGGAGCTAGGCTGGTCCTCTCAAAGTGTCTTTATTCCAATTTTGAAATGCACACTCCCTGTGAACTTTGCACATTGCAACCTATCTGTACTTCTCTTCCCTTAGTTATAACATGGAGAAAAGAACCCTGCCCTACTTTTCAGGATGATTGTGAGAATTTCCTTGTTAATGATTACAAAGCAGCTGGAAAATTCAGGCTCTTCACAAAGGAAAGTCAATAAAAAATGCATATGGGCACCAATAACAACAATCACATAAGGTCACTGAGAAGCAGCCAGTGTGTGGTCCAAGGTCTGAAGGAAGCATAATGACCAAGAATGGGAAATCTTCCCTGATGTGAACCAGGTAAGACAGAAGACGGCCAGTTAATAGGGACTTTCTGAACTGTGCCTGTGTGTGTAGCTCATTTTCATCATTGGGGATGAGTTGCAGGTTAGGCAAATGCTTCTCGTTTTTTAAAAAAGCTATTGTTAGTCTAATATTCATTATCTTCTTCAAGCCCTGGCTTTTACCACGAGCTGGTGGATTGACTTTCTGAAACAACCAATACTCTCACTCTGGAGGCTGATGACCTTCCTTTTGTACCATAGCCTTCCCTTTTTGCCGCAAAGCTGTACAATACAATACAGCCCTCTGCCAGCAGATCTGTTACTAAAGGAATTCATGCATCTTGCATCTTGAAGATGCATTATTAATGCCTGGACAAATCGCATCAGGTGAAACCCAGCAAGTCCCTGGCACTGAAAAAAAGGAACAAAGGCTAGTTCTACAAGAGAGCGATGGATGAGACAAATTATAACAGCTGGGAGTTTCTTGTAAGTAAGATGGCACAAAACCCAGAAATGCTAAAATTGTGTGCATGGACAGCAACTTTGTATTTCCGTGGTAAAATAGATTACACACGGTGCTGGAAGAAAGCCACTCTAATTGTGGCTCTGTTAAAGACATGGTGATGCAACTCTTTGAATTTCCCAACAAAAGGGGCCAGCTTGCTGGTGACTGAATTATTTCCAAGCACAATTTCAGGCTTTTTACATGATTTCCGAGATGGGCTAGGAAGGATGGGTTTTTCTAATAGGACCAGTAGTCAACTGGCTGCAGAGGGGGAACAATAAAGTGTGCTTGGGGAGGTTGAGCAGGGAATTGGGGAACAGAGGCTTGCTTCAGAGCCCCTTTTTTCATCTTTCCTGGCCGAGGCCAGGGATGCCTGGGTAGCTTGGCATGAGACAGCGGTTTTTGGTGTGATTCATCCTCCTGTGTGAGAGCGTACAGACTGGGTGATTGGAGACAGATAAATATCAGGTTTATTTCAAATGGATTAGAAAAGGCCACGAGTGCACGATCATTTAGCTGTGCAGATCCATGGCTGTGCCGACTCCCAGGGGTTGCTAATGACACACAACCGGCTCATGTGCCTGTGAGCCTCTCTGCTCCTTTCTGCTGGGCCCTCGACAGGGAAGATGTGTTAGAAACTGCAGGCAACAGCTGAAGTTTATGGTGACATTGAAGGGGGGCGATTTTCAAACCTACTTGTAAATAATCAGTTTATTAAATAAGATTTCTCTTGACATCTTGAGAAAAATGGTGTTTTTAAAAATGTGGGAGCTGCTGGTGTGCTGAAGAAAATGGCCAGTGGTTTGTGTGTGTGTGTGTGTCTGTGTGTGCACACTTGCATCTCATGTGCGCAGTTCTCTTGTGGTTTCCATGTAATATTACCCCCATTTTCTATCTGGAGAATCATTTTCCCTTACATATACTCAACAACAAACATGAAACCACCTAATTACGCTTTCATAATCGTGATTAAAAACCATCTAAATTATCCTACTAGATGTGCTCAAAGAGTTTGTTGATTGCTTTTTGATGTGTATTAGAGATTTATGCAGAGCCACATCAAATGATTTGCTTCACAATGAAATAAAGAGAAAAAAATCCTTTAATATGCGTACATACTTACTTAAAACATACATATATAATTCATATTTAGCTAATTAACCAGCATCAACCGGGAAATCAATGACCATGAAACAGTTGTGAAAAGACTGATTACTTTCAAATAGTACATTAATTTCCACTTCACACACACACACACAATTTATTTTTTCCCCAATATTGAATCTACCTTTTGTACAAACTTTGGTAGTTTGAAATTTCAGTGTCTCAAAGAGTCTTTTCATATCCTGGGAATGAACTTTTTGAGATTAGGATTTAAATTTTAGAATTAAATTTTGAGACAAGAACTGCACATAGATGATCCTCTTCTCTCCCAGTGGAAGGTTTTGGGCCAGTTCACGTGACAGAAGAGGAATAAACTGCAGCCCAGAGTGGTGTCGCCCTGCTGCTTCCCTTTGAAATGAACAGACATCCAGTCCCTTCCCTCCCTCCCACAAATGACCGTGCATGGAGTCTTCATGGTTTTCCTGTTTACACACATTGGCTTATTTTCAGACTCGAAGACTTTACCTCCAGGTCCTTTTCTAAAAGCATTGTTTTTGTATGTTTGTGGAATCATTGTAAAACACGCTTTCCAATTAATAACCTTCATTTTCACACATAAATTTCATCAGATGTATGAAACATGCATAGGTTATTTCTAACAAAGATGTCTGTAACTGTTTACCTACCATTCTAGGTTCTCACAGGAGTGGAAGCCTGTCTGTTGCTTTGGAGACCATTATCTGGAAAAAAACAGGATGTTGACAGGTGAGGCAGGGCCTACAAGAGGTGTAAAATCAAAGGGGAGTGATGAAATATGTTTTCAATGTTCAGACATAAGGTGATGATAGGCCTAAAAGAAAGGCCAAATTAACAAGGGTTTTCAATTTTAGTATGAGGAAGTGGTGGTTTATTCATTCAGTAACCTCCAGAACATGTTTTTTTTTCTTTTTGTTTTGTCAGGCATTGAATAATTGTGAAAGGTAATAGTAAATCAAAGAATATTGAGATATATTTACTCTCCTGGGTGAGGAAGTTACATAGAGAGGCAATAGAATGTGCAAATTGGTATAGTGGAGATCTGTGCTATGGATTATGGGAAGATGGAGGAATAACTTTGTTGATGTGTGATAAAAGGCTTAACCAAAGATTGGCTCAAAGGGTGAGTTGGATCTCTGTCCAGGAACA